TTGTCCCTGTCTCTCTCTCAAAAATAAAATAAACATTAAAAAAGTAAATAATAAAGTCAGTTTGTTTTGCATGGAAAATAGCTTTTTACATGAAGGACTGCCTTTTGATTATTCTTCGCTATAAGACAGCCTGCACAGTCTTTTGTGCAAGTTAATTAGATCTAATCAGGCCATAGTTAATAGTTATTATGAGACTGCTGAGTGAAATCAGGCTTCTCTGATAAACAGAGTTCGCATCTTTTTTTTTTTTAATTTTTTTTTTTCAACGTTTATTTATTTTTGGGACAGAGAGAGACAGAGCATGAACGGGGGAGGGGCAGAGAGAGAGAGGGAGACACAGAATCGGAAACAGGCTCCAGGCTCTGAGCCATCAGCCCAGAGCCCGATGCGGGGCTCGAACTCACGGACAGCGAGATCGTGACCTGGCTGAAGTCGGACGCTTAACTGACTGCGCCACCCAGGCGCCCCTAGAGTTCGCATCTTTATGTGAACACTTTCCTATGACAAACGTCCTAACAAATACAGCTTCCTATAACAAGCACTCGTGGTCTCAGAATTATGAGTCGGTAGTCTTTGGAACCGTTAAAATACATACCTTACTGCCGTGGGAGTGACTTTGTCCTTTTCAGAGACAGACTCAGGCAGAAACTGGATTTTTATGATGTCAAGACCCAGAATGAGTGTAGATTAACCTTCAATGTGATGACAGCCGGTGTGTAAATAGTTGCTGACTTCTCACTCTAAGTCAGTCCGAATGACCAATGGCCGAGGGCCTTTCCAGCTTTAAGGAAAGCTTAAGAGCAACAGCTTTCCAGTCTTTCAAAGATCCTGTGGCACCAACTTGATTATATGTCAAGGCTGGAACAAAGATTTTTAAAGCTTGTAATAATTTTTTCACACAGGCAGATCAACAACCTTTAGTCTCAGCTTGCTCATTTGTAAAATAGGAATAATAACAATAACAATAACAATAATAATAATAATAACTGCCTCCTAACATTGGTTTGGAGACTAACAGGGAAATGGGGCATTAAGTGCTTAGCAGAGTGAGTGCTATGTTACGCCCTGGAAATATTTGCTGTGATTATGATTTGAATCATTACAGGAACAAAGACTCTAAAGTAACCCAGGGGCGCCTGGGTGGCTCAGTCGGTTGAGCGTCCGACTTCGGCTCAGGTCATGATCTCACGGTCCGTGAGTTTGAGCCCCGTGTCAGGCTCTGTGCTGACCGCTCAGAGCCTGGAGCCTGTTTCAGATTCTGTGTCTCCTCTCTCTCTGACCCTCCCCCATTCATGCTCTGTCTCTCTCTGTCTCAAAAATAAATAAACGTTAAAAAAAAAATTAAAAAAAAAATAATAAAGTAACCCAGGGTGGGGGCAGGGGGGTGGCAGGAGGGGGAATGTGCTGGGAGAGAGGATACAGAGGGACCATTAGATTCACGTGATGGACCTGGTGCCACACAGCCTGGGCCCTGCCTCTGCTGGGCCGTCATGCACGGTGAGCGAGTCCTGCCAGCATGTGCGTCGCCCAGAGATTGAGGGGCCTGGAGCCAGACCCGGGAGGGCGAGGGCAGGGCACTGAGCCGGGCACCCTATTCCCAGCCCATCACTCATCACCGAGACTTCCCCTTGGAGCCCAGCACAGCTCAGAACATCCTAAACACAGAGCTCCAGGTGGCCTTCGACTGTGAATTTGGAGTTGGGAGGTGAGCTAGAACCATTTGCCAGCTCTACACTAAGCATCACTCAGCCCCCAGGTGCTGTCTTTAAAGGCAAAGGAGGTAGGGAAACAAGTCAGCTGTACATTTTCCAGTTGTTTTGTCTCCTTTTTAAAGGATAAACATGTTTATGGAAATGTTTATTTCCAACCAGTATCACTTCCTTCCAAGTATGGGCTTGGGAAAAAGCCTTTATGGCAGGATGAAGAGGCATCCTCCCTTGCCGACCCTTAAACTTGCCCAGACCTGCTTCTCGACCCTTTCCCTGAGACCAGGGGAGCCATCCAGGAGCGTACACGTGTTCTGAAGGACGGCATCTCGGCCGAGATGCAGAGAATGATTTCTTCCTTTACGGTTGGGCTTTGCAGCTAAAGGAACAGAAGCAGTATGTTTCTCTTTCTATTATTTTCAGGCTTCCCGAAGAGCATCTTAAAGCCATTCAAGATTATTTAACCACTCAGCTCGCCCTGGATTCTGACTTTGTGAAGACAGGCTCCAACAGCCTCCCTCATTTGAAGAAACTGACCATGTTCCTCTGCAAGGAGCTCTATGGGTAATGGCTCCGTGGGTGTGGCCATCCCCCAGGGGCGGGGACAGTGGGGACAGTTCCCGGGGAAGAGATTCAGCTCATTAGAGTGAGCCGGGCTCTCCGCCTGGCTGTCCAAATACCTCAGCTGTACTCGGAATAATAGGGCAGAGTTGGCAGAGGTTAGAAACCTTTGTGGTTGTTTCAAGGTTTTGTTTTCATGGTATTTAAACTGTGGCCTTTTTTTTTTTTTTTTTACTGAAGTTAATTTGAGGCCAGTTGCTGTGGGAAGGGGTGAGTGGGAGCCCTTTCACACTTGCTCAGGATCCAGCAGTAAGACTTTTGCACTGTCCCTCCTTGCTGCAGCCAGCACCTCGGACAAGCACAAAAGGGCTCTGAGAGGAAAGAAATTAAAGTCAGCCAATCTTCTGCATGGGTGGGGACGGCCCAGGGTCGCCAGTTTGTCTTTTTTTAAGGGAGCCAGGTCTCCAAAGCTTTCATTCTCCAATATTGAATTCATTGAATGACCAATTGGGAAAAATTCTGATTTCTTTTAGATTTTGAAAATGTTATGGTTTAACTTAATGTTAAAATTAACTTCAAGCTTCAGTACATTTTAATTGTTAGAAGTACAAAATTAAGGCTGCTGTGCTATCTGAAGAATTGACAGAGGGCTATTTTAAATACTTGGGGAAAAAAAAACCCAGAAAATACCATTCACAAGAAATCATAAGGAGCCAAAACAATCCCATTTTAAATGAAGGGTCAACATTTTGGTGGGGAAAATGGCATTTCATGTGGGTGAGGCTTTTTCGGCCTATACCATTTCCTGTGTATTTTATTATAAACTTACAGCAGCTCCAGAACTCTCTGGTCAATTTCTCTGCTGCCATATCCATCTTAGCTTAGCTAATATGCCAAAAAGAATCTTTCATCATCAGTAATCAAATTGAACTTTCCTCTGAAAGGCTCTTAAAAGCACAGTCAGTACATTCGGTAAATTTAACAAATAATTTTCTTTGACAAATGGAGCACACTCATCACATTGGCCAGTCGGGTTTTGTTTCAGTGAATTGGCTTTCAACTCATGTAGTTTCAGCCAAGTGGACCTAGAACCATTTTTATAGATTTGCTTGGAGAGAGATTTTTCCACTTGATACTGTTGTTATAAATCAGGTCTCACTAGGAAACACACACACACACACACACACACACACACACACACACACACACGGCACTTTTTCTTTGTAAGAGACACAGATTCATGACGACTGGGAACAAGCTTTTATTTCTGTTCCAGTGGAGATCCTGTTCTTTGCTGCTTCCTTGTGTGGGAGGAAGTACATCTCCAAGTCTCTCCGCTGGCTCCCCCCGCCCCCCCACCCCAGTCACTTCTACACCTTTCCCACCTCACTGCCACCTGCACTTTCCTGGATCTGGGTCGCCTCCCTTTCTGGACACAGCAACTTCCCCGGTGGGCCTGCCTCTCTGTGCTGGTGGGAAAGCTTCCTTGGGCTTCCTGCTTTCCCCGTCTCTCTTCACTGAACACTTAACTTCCGGCTAGAATTAGAGACACTGTGATGTATCTCACTGCACACCTGTCTGTCTTCACCCTCAGAGGCAAAAGCATTGGAAGACTTGGTTAACTGGGGGATGGAATTTTAGAAAATCTTACATAGAAGCAAACTTATGTTTCCCCTTCCACACCTCTGAACGTGTGGGTTTCAAACTGCTTTGTCTGGACCAGGTCTTCAGTTCATTCATTCTGTCAGTCAGTCATTTACTTAACCAATGTGTGTGGAGGGCCCCCCTCTGAACTTCTGGGTACTAGGATCCAGTAAAAACACAATGAACAAGCCTTCTGTTCTTTGAGACCTTGTTGGAGCTGACGTCTCAGGAGCACCATAGTAGACTAATTCTGTAAACAAAGATAATTTTAATAAGCATTGTGACAAAATAAAACAGGTAAAAGTGACAGAGACATTGGGTGGGAGGGTGTCAGTGTCCTTTGGGGGTTAAGGAGGCCTCTCTGAGGTGGTGATAGAGCTGGGACCTTGGTGACAAGGGGCAGTTATAGCCACCCAGCAATTTCGTGGAGGGATGTCATGAAGAAAGGTCCCGAGGCAGGAATGAGGCCAGCCTGCGAGGAACAGAAAGTCTGTGTGGCTGGAGCACAATGAGGGAAGGAAAGTGTTAGTGGCAGAGGCTGGGGACAGGCGGGTATGGGGTGGGCCAGACAGGATGAATTTGAGTTCAGTCTGAATTTTAGATACATCACAAATACGTTTTTAGTGTAAGTATATGCCATGCAGTGCTGGGATATACTTATACGAGTAGATTATCCATTATTTATCTGAAATTCAAATTCAACTGGATCTCCTGCGTCTTATCTGGCGGCGTTAGGCAGGAGCCACAGCAGGTACACCTCACAAGACTCTCGAGGTTTTACAGGATTGTGCCATGATCTGAGTTCCAGCTGCGGAGAATGGATCTCAGGAGGCTGGCACAAAGCAGGAGAGCAGTTCCAAACTCAGGGACTGTGATGCGAGGGCAGCTCATGAGAAGGGAAGGCGGGGATGTGTCTGGGTTGCTTCCTGCTGAGTCCCGGGGTTTGGGACAATGCCTGGCACGTGGAAATGGCTGATAGATGTTAGTTCAGTATGATGACCCTGGACGTGGGGGTGTGCAGGCACTGACAGTAGTGTGACCTGGGGCATGTGTGGATGCTGGGGCTGGTATACATTTGCTGCCTGTTTGGATGCAGGATCGGGGGAGAGGAACGGAGGGCGACCATTTTGGTGTGAGCAGCTGAGTGGATGGGGATGCCAGTTACTAAAAGTGAGGAGGAGGGTGTGGAGCTGGGGTGGGGGGGGCACCTTTCTCAAGCTGCAGTGGGCTTGAAGCACTATTAGGCATCCCACCAGCTGAACCACCAACCTTGGAGTTATGCCAGAAGCTTGGAACCCGGGAGACCTCAGGGCAGGATCTACATTTGGGACTCATTAGCGTGCAGTTGGCACTTAAAGCCTTAAAGAGACAGGTGGGGTGAGGTCACCACAGGGGGAAGGTGCATGGAGGAGAAGGGGACCCAGGTTGGACATTTAGATGTGGGGTACAGGAAGGAGGAGCCAGAAGAGGGGCTGAGTGAGGGTAGCACCGAAGATGACTGGGTCCATCCACTCAGACGGCCTGGCTCGACAGGAACATCCCGAAGTGGGAAGGTGACAGAGAACTGAGGAGCGAGAAACAGGGCCAGAGCCTCCCCTGCAAAACGTCATGCTGAGTGTGCGCGTCTGAACGTCAGCGGCACAAGGGCTCGAGGGCGATTTGTGACCCAAAGTTAGATTCCCTAGAAGCAGACAGAAACTTTTCCAGAGAAAAAAAGAATAGAGAACAACGTCACCAGAGTCTGGAAATATTTGGTAATGCTTAAAATGGAGAAATGAGAAGAACTCCAAGTGGAATTTTAAAGTAAAATGTCCAAGTGTGGGAGAGGGTATTTTATCTATTAATGAGAGCAGGGTTAAGATTTTAATAGACAAATAAACCCGAAACAAAAATACGTCACCCGCATTACAACTGCTTCATTGGAGGCCATAAAAATAAACCCATAGTTTTCCTATCAAATCTGAAAATTAAATCACAAAACAGCAGAATGTCAGGGAAGTATATATAGAAAACACAGGAGAGCTAACTAAGCTTATAGAAAGAATGTGTGATAAAAAATTGTGATAGTCTTTGGAAAGAGGGCATTCATAGAGATTCAACTTAGAGCTGGTAGGATGGGCTCTCGAAGAAGCAGGAAAAAACAATGCATAATCAATGGCTGAGTATATAAAAGAAAAAAGTATTCCCAGGCTTATAAAGGACCTAAATCCAGGTATTGAGAAGCCTCATAAAGATCCAATTAGCAGAACAACCAAATAGCACCATCTAAATCTCTCTCTCCTTTTTTTTTTTTTTTTTTTTTTTTTAACATTTATTTATTTTTTGAGAGAGACAGACCATGAGCAGGGGAGGGGCAGAGAGGGAGGAAGACACAGAATCCGAAGCAGGCTCCAGGCTCTGAGCTGTCAGCACAGAGCCTGACGTGGGGCTTGAACTCATGGACTGTGAGATCATGACCTGAGCTGAAGTCAGATGCTTAACCGACTAAGCCACCCAGGTGCCCCCTCTCTCTCTTTTTGTTAATGTTTATTTATTTTTGAGAGAGAGAGACAGAGACAGAGACAGAGCGTGAGCCAAGAAGGGGCAGAGAGAGAGAGAGGGAGACACAGAATCCGAAGCAGGCTCCAGGCTCTGAGGTGTCAGCACAGAGCCTGACGTGGGGATCGAACCCACGAACCGAACCATGAGATCATGACCTGAGCTGAAGTCCCACACTTAACCGGCTGAGCCACCCAGGCGTCCCTAAATCTCTTCTTACAAAGTTTCCAAACTAGAAGGGAAGATGAATTCAGAAAGTAAATAATTATAAACAGCACCCTTACTTTAAAAAATGACAATATGTAATATCATTCCCACTGCCTGATAATACAATATAAATTCTGAAGCAGTATCTTCAAGGAGACGATTACTGACCTGGAATGAACGGAACATAGATGTCATTCAAGAGCACAGGGAGTCAGGGTGCCTGGGTGGCTCAGTCAGTGGCACGCCCGACTCTTAATTTCGGCTCAGGTCACGGTCTCACAGTTTGTGGGTTTGAGCCCCGCGTCGGGCTCTGCACTGACAGTGCGGAGCCTTCTTGGGATTCTCTCTCTCTCTTTCTTTCTCTCTGCCCCTCCCCCGCAAAATAGATAAATAAGCTTAAAAATAAAAAGAGCACAGGGAGTCTTTGCAGATTTTAAAAACTTGTAAAAATGTTCTAATCACATGTGTTTCCTTTAAAAAGGATCTGAGAATTTTTTTTCCAGAAATCTTAGAGTGCTGGTGGTCCTAAAAATAAGAGCCCAGCAGCTTACTGAGCAGCTGGATATGAATACACCCAAAGCAAAAGTGTTCATTCTATACTCCCAGAACACAACATGACAAAAATAGAAATAAATAAGAAGACTAGCCACAACCACCCAACCATCTGCACACTTTCAGATAGCCTCTTAAATCACAGCTAAATTAAGGAAAGAACCGACACACGGGGTACCCTTTATGGGTAGTGTGGGGGCACTGAGTAATCAGACCACCGCGTAGGAGAACTCTGTATGGCACAGCCAAAGCACTACTTGGAGGAAAAGCCATAGCTTTAGATGCTCTGTTAGGAAAAAGGGGGTAGGATGAGTCAAACACACAAACTGAATCCAGACTGTGAGTCTCTTGAAGGTTATCGTGGGTCAAGTCCTAATAGCCTTGCTATTTCCCACATCCAGCAAAGTACCAGAAACATGTGTTTACTCAGTGCTCATGAACGGAGATTGAATGCGTGCTGAGTATGTGTCATGCACTGTTCCAGGGATGGAGACACAGCAGTGACCCACACAGAGTCTTTTAAGAGGTCTCTGTCTAGCAAATAAACAATAACAACAACTGTTAGAGGGGGTATGGTCAAAATAAAAGCAGAAATAAATTAGGAAAACAGTCAGTTACCATTTTAAATATTAGATGGACGCCTGGGTGGATCAGTCGGTTGAGCATCCGATTTCAGCTCGTGATCTCCCAGGTCTTGGGTTGGGTTTGAGCCCCACCTTTGTGCTGACAGCTCAGAGCCTGGATCCGGCTTCGGATTGTGTGTCTCCCTCTTTCTCTGCCCCTCCCCCACTCGCTCACGTGCACGCTCTCTCTCTCAAAAGTAAATAAACATTAAACAAATTAAAAAAAAATTTGGAAGCATAAGAGACTTAGTAATCTGCATTAAAGATTTGCAAATCAAGAATACAGTGCACGGGGATGGGACGCCTGGGTGGCTCAGTCAGTTGAGTCCGACTTCGGCTCAGGTCATGATCTGGCAGGTTCCTGAGTTAGAGCCCCTCATCAGGATCTGCGGTGACAGCTCAGAGCCTGCTTCAGATTCTGTGTCTCCCCCTCTCTCTGCCCCTCCCCTGCCCACACTGTCTGTCTCTCTCTGTCAAAAATAAATAAACATTAAAAAAGAAAAAAAGGGGCGCCTGGGTGGCGCAGTCGGTTAAGCGTCCGGCTTCAGCCAGGTCACGATCTCGCGGTCCGTGAGTTCAAGCCCCGCGTCAGGCTCTGGGCTGATGGCTCGGAGCCTGGAGCCTGTTTCCGATTCTGTGTCTCCCTCTCTCTCTGCCCCTCCCCCGTTCATGCTCTGTCTCTCTCTGTCCCAAAAATAAATAAAAACGTTGAAAAAAAAATTAAAAGAAAAAAAAAGAAAAAAATTTTTTAATTAAAAAAGAACATGATGCACATTGACATGGCTACAGATCTTCATATTATAGTTAAATGGAACAAATATTTTACATACAATATGAAACATAAAAATTACCATGAGTGCCCTCCTTTGAAATTTCAAGAAGCAAATGAGGACCATAATCTATAAATTATTCCTGAATGGCAAAAAACACCTCATTCAGTCTTCAAGAAAAATACAATAGTCAAGATAGCAGCCTGAAATAAAACGGTATCCATTTATTAATATAAATGTTTAATATTTCAGTAATGTTTTAGTATATATAATTTAGTAATATGAAAAATGGAGGCTTAGATAAAGAGCTCACTTCAAAGAAAAGTCAACATAAAACACCATCATTTAGTAGATTAAAGATGAAAGAATCATTTGCATAGGTATCCTAACAGATGTGTGATTTTTAAAAAGTCATTTCTGGGGTGCCTGGGTGGCTCAACTCGGCTGAGCATCCAGCTCTTGATTTTGACTCAGGTCACAACCCCAGGGTTGTGGGATCGAGCCCCAACTCTGCCTCTTCTCTGAGCTTGGGCCTGCTTGAGATTCTCTCCTTCTCTCTCTCTCACTCTCTCTCCCCCTCTGCCCCTCTCCCCACTCACTCTCTCTGTTAAAAAAAAAAAAGTCATTTCTAATTTTAAAGCATTTTACAAATGGAATAGAGGGCTACTTCCTTAGTAATGCAATAGGTGTCAATGTAAAACCAATTACACTCGACAGGGAAACAGTAAAATCATTCTATTAAACATTCTAACAAAAGAGGGGCACCTGGGTGGCTCAGTCAGTTAAGCGTCCAACTTTGCTGACTTTGGCTCAGGTCATGATCTCACAGTTTGAGTTCAAGCCCCGCATCAATCAGCCTGTCAGTGCAGAGCCTGCTTTGGATCCTCTGTCCCCCTCTCTCTGCCCCTCCCCTGCTTGTGCTTTCCCCAAAATAAATAAATACTAAAAAAAAAATTTTTTTAACAGAAGAAAAAGGTGCCCTTTATCACCTGGTTTTGTGTTGTATGGGAAATTTTGGCCAAAGTAAGATGAGAAAAAGAAGGGACCACCAACATTTCTAGACACATCTGGGAGCCAGTCAGATTTGTCAAGATTTTACAGTTTAAAAATAGAAGGAAAACCAGCATCATTCTTAGAAAACCCTAAGGATTCAGCTTGTGTATGTGTATTTGTGTTTTTAGGAAAACATTTTTAAAAAGGAGAACAATGAGGGACATCTGTTTGACGTTAAAACATGTTCAGAATTAGTGCCTTGGAAATTTTTTTATTTTAACCCAGAATTCTTGTATGAAAATGATAGTTTAAAGGGAATACTGCTGGGGCACCTGGGTGGCTCAGTGGGTTAAGCCTCTTCCTCTTGATTTCTGCTCAGGTCGTGATCTCATGGTGGTGGGAGGTGGGATCCAGCCCATGTCAGGCTCCACTTGAGATTCTCTCCCTCTCTCTCTGCCCCTCCCCTGCTCACGTGCGCTCTCTCTCAAAACAAATACATAAATATTAAAGATAAATAAAGGGAAGACTGCTGCATGAACAGATGAATGAACTCTGGCGGAGGGGTTGGGGAAACCCAGAACCTGCCTGCCCAGCCTTCCCCTCTCTCTGCTTTGCCAGTCAGTTCCCTCCACACCCTTCCTGGTCCCTGGAGTAGACCCACTTGTGATGCCTTCAAAACCAGCAGGTTAAAACACCATCCCCGAAACTGTGAGACGTTGTAAATCTGCCATCCTGGCATTGCCTGGTATACATGCGGAGCTCTGGATTTGTAGTTAAATGAATGATATGGAGCCTGGAAACAAATCCTACCATATTCTAGAAGAGCTTATATGCTCGATGAGCCCAAAAGAAGTATGTAAAACAGAGCAAGTGTTGTTGAGTGAAACTGAATAGTAATATGGAGAAAGATGAACCTAGTTCCACCCCATATTCAAAAAAAAAAAAAAAATCTAGGGGCACCTGGGTGGGTCAGTCGGTTGAGCGTCCGACTTCGGCTCAGGTCACGATCTCGCGGTCCGTGAGTTCGAGCCCCGCGTCGGGCTCTGGGCTGACAGCTCAGAGCCTGGAGCCTGTTTCCGATTCTGTGTCTCCCTCTCTCTGTGCCCCTCCCCTGTTCATGCTCTGTCTCTCTCTGTCCCAAAAATAAATAAACGTTGAAAAAAAAAATCTAGATGAGGTAAGGGATTAAAAAATATAATATCTACAAGAAAAACCCATATGTAATGTAACTTAAAAAAAAGCAAGTAAGAAACCAAATTAAAATGAGCTAATAATTGCTTACTAGTAAATACTGATGATAAATTTTTAACTAAGGGAAGCAAAGAATTACCAAGGAAAAGATGAAAAATAGAACAACAAAAAATTATAAAGCACTTGGCAATGAAATCCAACCTGCCCAGGATGAAAATAACAGAATGGGGGAAAAAAGTGCAACGTCCAGATTAAATAAAAAGCAAAGTGGTATGTAACGTTTATACCAACATCCAAAAATCCTGGCAAAATTCCCAACAGAAAACTGACAAAAGACACAAACAATTTATACAAAAAGAAATACAGTAGAAACCAACTATGTAGAAATATATTTAGTGACAATAAATTAAAGGTATGCAATCAATGCATCAATATTGAAATGCAGTGTTATATCCACTAAACGAGGGGAAGAAAATCCTAGAATGAGGACAGCACATCAAATGGGCAGGCTCAGACAGTGCCCCTGGCCCGTGATGGGTACCATCACTCAAAGGCTTAGCAATACTGCTCAAGAGACACAATCTCTGCTTATCATCAAATTTAATTGAAAATAAAAGGGTATGGGAACAAAGCTGTTCAGAGCAGCCTTTATTTGTAATCGCCAACATCTCAAAATAACCCAAGTATCTAGCAATTCATTTTGGCACGTTTACTCGATAGAATATTTCCACACCGTTAGAACGTTAAACATGTAAAGACATGAAGTTTGGGGTGAAATAAGGGAGACCTAGAACTCAGAATTGTCTGCCACTGTGCTTAAAACAATGTGAAAACAATAGAAAAAGACAGGAGCAAAGAATGGGTAGGAGTTGTCAAGGAATTAGACAATGAAAAAAATCTCTCCAGGCGTCCGTCTCGGGGGCGGGGAGGGGATTTGAACTAGAAGGCGCAGACGACTGCTAGCACAGGAAGCCCCTGGGGCACGCATTTAAAATGCAGATTCTGGACCAAATCGGGTTGGGGCCCAGAAATTTGCATTTTTAACACCCGGGTGTGTTTGCAATTCTTCTAAACACTCGAGGTTGGGAACCAGGGATTACTAAGTGATTTCATAGTAGTTTCGCGATCCTAGATTTGAATTATCCACAGCCTGTGAGTATGGCTAACCAGAGGTAAATCAGATCTCCGGATCTACGCGTTGCGACTCCGGTTTGGCCCAGGGTGGGCGACAGGATGGGAAGAGTGGGGGTCTTGGTGGGGGGAGGGGGGCCAGCACTGGCAGGCCTGGATCTTTGCCCGGGCTTGTCTTTTGCCAGACTGGGTGTGGCCATGCCTCTGGCTGGATCCTGCCATGCCTTCCCTGGGTCCTCACTAATCCTTGACCTTCACCTTGTCTCCTGCTCCCAGCGAAATCACCCGGACCCTCCCCTCCCTGGAGTCTCTGCAGAGGCTGTTTGACCAGCAGCTCTCCCCTGGCCTCCGTCCACGGCCTCAGGTAAAGGCTCTGGGGTTGGAAAGAAGAGATTGATAA